CCTGTGCCAGGGGCTGGCCACCGCACCTGTGGGGGCCGCTCCCAGGGCTGGAAGCTGGCCCGAACTAGACTTGGAAGCGTGGTCAAGTTGGCCTCGATTAGCAGTAAGTTACCAAGAATAAGCTTTGCTCTCCGAGGCCCAGACAATAAGCAGAACATCCTGGACCTCAGGAGAGTGTCTGGGATCGTGCTGAGGATGAGTTATCTGACAACCTGGCAAAGCGACTATTTGATTAACTTGGCAATGAAACGGACTTCTGAGTGTCCTGACAGTGAACTACCTCCATTATCACACTGAAGAGCACACCCGCAGGTCAAGAAGCCCCTGCCCTGCAGCGGCTCTGCCGCGGCGGCTGGGATCTCATCGAAACAAAGATTGGGCATGAACTCTGGTGTTCTGGCCTTGCAGAATGCGAACCCCTGTGTCGCTGCTTGGCGCAGTACGGCTTTTGGCCTAGCAGTGCAACAATCATTAGACTTTTAAGTAGGCTTTAAAATGAAAATGTTTTGCAGTGGCAGCAGGCTGTGTTAGTGGCAGGTAAACAGCGTTTCGGTGTTGCATCTGCTCCCAGCAAAACAGCATAAATTCTCCTTCTGAGCGCTGTTGTCTCTCAGACCCAAGCTCCAAGCTGTGCATCAAAACTGTCCTTTTTGTTGGTGTTTTCCTTTGAACTGTAGCGTAGAAGTAGGGATGAATTCTAATCTTTATTACAGGCTGGTGCTGGGCTCTTGCCCTCTAGCTGTGAGTAGTTTTTATGAACACCAAGGTGAAGAATAGAGCTGGCCCCATTATATTTGTTTTGGCCGCATGTGTTCGAACGCTCAGGATAGAACCGAGCAGCTGTACAGCACAGGGCACTTCCTTGGCACAAACCCCCATGGGTTTGTCAGTGTTCTCAGCAGGACAAGATGTTTAAACAAATGTTGACTTTGGGCTAAATTCATCCTTGATGCAACCAACTTAAAACACAAGGCAGGATTTTTTTGTCTCAGCCCGTTGCCAGTTCTCTGTCTCCGTTTAGCGGTGGTCTGGCTTTGCCGGAGGCAGTGCCGGGAGGAACCGGGAGCCGCCCGGCCGGCTCTGGCACCCGGGCAGCTGTGCGACTGAAGCGGGACCGGGCTGAATGCTGGTGCGGGGCAGTGCGGGTGCCCTGGGCACTCGCTTGCAGGCGAGGCAGCCCCACTGACTCTCCTTCATCAGCGGTGGCACGATGGCCTGTGGTGTGCAGCCTTGCTTCTGCTGCTGCCCTCCGGGGCACCGGGAGGCAGAGAATGCCCCTTGCTAAGCAACTGTTTATTAAAAATGGTCAGATCCTTGAAAACTGGATTGGTTTTATGAGTTAGGGTAGGAGTGGAAGACGGTATGTTGCACTTCTGCTGAGAAATAACAAGTTTTTCCTGTTTGCTGAAAGCCTGTAAAGCTGCATTGGGCTCACTGAACTCACCAGGCTTCTGCATGAGATCTCAGCGGGGTTAGCTTCTTGTGCCAGTGTCCTCCTCATGAGGAAATGGCTGAGGAGAACATGAATCTCTAAAACAATGTGGTGGTGTGGCTCTGTTTTAATTGACTGCCTTTTTTTTTTTTCTTTTTCTCTGGAGTTTGATGGCTTGGTAGAAAATGGAATTGGATCCCTGTAGTGGTGTTATGCCCTGTACTGAAAACCAAACTGTTATGTATGTGAAATTCTTTTTGGGAGGAAAACCCCAAGATTTCCTCTCAAACCAGAAGTCCAGAACTTTGAACAGCAAATACAGGCAAAGATGCTTAGTCTGGAATCTTTCTGTTTCTCTTCGGCTTCTGTTAACCATCTACAGGTGTTCTTTTGTTGACCTAGAATAAGACTGTGCAAGGATGCATTTAAGTTGTTTTTTTTGTGGTTTTTTTGTTTTGTTTTGTTTTTTTTTTAAAAAGAGCACAACCCCAAACATTTTTTTTCTCTTGCCTAGCTGCAGACATCCTGAGCTGTATCTCTGGCAACCTTGGGCAGTCAGATTTGCTCACCGTGTAGTTTAGACTGCCACACTATGGCTAACCAGTGGATGTGCTCTGAAATACTCACTGGAAAAATCCTAACAAGCTTGGAATGAGAAGTCAGGGCCACCTTTCACTGATTTTCTTGAGTGTTTGGCAATTAGAGGTGAGAGGAGAAACAGTGCTTTTCATTGTGTAAGATTTGAACCAGAGTAGGAATGCAAATAGAAATTTTATTCTGTAGTATACTTCTGTGTAACTTGAGAAGGGCAGTTGGAGGTGAATCGTGAAGCTAATTATGACAGCCAGAAGCACAGAGCAGAAAGGTTAAAATAATCCTCATTTGTATGTGGCAGCAAAGTGCATCACATGCTTTTAACCAGGAATTTGATATGATTGAAAAAATAATTGCTACAGTTACTCATAAATGCCATAGTTAAAGTGGACTTCAGGGCTTCTGCTCTTGTTATTTCTGTTACGACTCTGCGAGTTGAACCTTTGAATGTTGTTATGTTGCAAAATAGGGTGGGAAGGTGCAAGCAGACGTGCTCTGGGAGGAGACCAAAGCAGTCGGGGTTCTTCAAGGGCGTGTTTGTGCCAAGACATCTCCTGGCTCATGAGGCAATACGTGGGATTTCTGACTGGGGCATTTTGCGTATCGGCTGCAATTTATGGTCTCTGGGGATGGAGTGCAGGAGTCAGTTGGACTGCAGAAGGTGTCAGTGTGGGATTTTTTTTTTTTGACCCCCCTCCCTCTTGTGCATCTCTCAAGTTAGGTTTAAAACATTGCTGTGCTCCGCAGCAGAATTACATCCAGCTTCTCTAGAAGTGTGCTCTTACCGCAGAGATGCGTCCCCCGCTTTCATTACGTAGAGTCAGTAAGAAATAGGTGGCGATCAGATGGACAGCCTGCTACAGCAGATACGGGGGTATATATTCTTGAATATTGGTTCAGAAATATGCTAGAAGGTATTCTGCCTCTGCCATGTGTATCTAGAGAAAGCAGCCCCTCCATGGTTGGTGTGGGAGAGCAGGCACCAGCAGAGCACCATCTCGAGGGGGTACTGGGCAGTCACTGGGGTATACTGGGAGCTGCTGTGCTGCAGAGGCCTCTCAGGCCTTTGTGGGGTGCGGCGCCGAGGGGGGCCTTGCCCCCTCCCTGCCCCGGGGCCGAGCCTGCCAGGATGGAGCGGGGTTTCTGCTGGGGTGGCTGTTAGGTTAGTGCAGGTGTCGTTCTAAAGTGAGCTCGTGAACTGTAAATCAAACGTTTAGTTCAAGTATGACAAATTGATTTATATGTGAAGTAAGTGTATCTGTATGTGAAAGGCTTTTGTATTTATCAATCTTTATCACAGCAAGTAATCTGTGCAGTGGGTTTTCTGGACTTTTTGGGGGGTTAATTTACGTTTATTCACAACCACCACCCTTCCAAACCAATAGTAAAGTGGAGTAATCTGGAAAGGTTTAGCTGATTTTACAGTGTCACTGCTTCATTTCCTTGCTGTTAAAAAAGAAAGAATCAGAATATTTATGAATTTAAATATTATTATTTTTTACAAGTCTTTGAAGCTGTCACTTTGATTTATGTGGGCTTCATTTGATCTTGCATGTAAAACCAGCCCTTCATTGCTTTGAAATATTCCATTTTTGTACAAATCATTATGTGGATGTAACCTGCAGTGATTTCTCTCTGCTGCTAAATACAGTGCTGCTTTTCCAGGCCTGCTATTTCCCTCAAATAACTTCTAAGAAACGTTGCTGTGGTTAGGAGCTGCTGCTTTTGATAAATGATTGTACACATTCCAGTTAGGAGAGGTGTGTGGGGATCTTGATTCCCTGGATTCAGAATAATAACTAATGTAATCAGTTCTGCTTGTTGTTTCCTACAAATAGCAATCAATATGTTTGCAGGAAGACTGAATGAGAGCACAGGAATTCTTTTTCTAATTATAATTGTCAGGTTTTTGCAAGAGGAGAAAGCAGGGCTTCGATTCCGGTAGGCGTGCAACGAGGGGTAACCCCGTAACCGCCCGGGTCCCCCTGTGCTGGGGTGCCGAGGGGCGTCTGGACGCGGGAGTCTCGGTCTTTCCTAACTGCTGCGTGCTGGTACCACGCTCGCCGCTCTGCGTCTGTAAAACGGGCTCTGACGTCTTCAGGAAACACTCATGACCGGCAGCCAGGGTAGAAAAAGTAATTTCAAAGCTATGGATAGCTTAAGGGCAAAGTCAGCTTTGTGGCTTCTGCTGTCACAGGTTTGTTTGGGGTCCTCTTGGTGCGATGGAGGAGAAACGTCTGTAAAATAAGCAAATCAATCTGGAAAAAATTTCCTACAGTAACTCATTGGAATTTTTTAAAGAAAAGTGTGTGCTCTTCTTCTGGATAGCTTCTTTTTCATAGATAGTTTTCATTTTTCTAGATAGCTCCTTTTCATAGAAGTGTAGCGCTTTGAGTGAGAGCGGTCAGAGTTGCCCTTCCCCAGGTGCAGGACAGGTCGGAGCGGGCTGGGCTGCGCTCTGGGAAGGGGTTAGGGAAGGCCGGGTGCGAAGGTGGCCCCTAGGCAGGGGGAGGGATGGCATTTTCTCCTGCCCGGGCCGGCGGGCCTCGGCCGTCCCCGGGATGATGCGGCGGTCGCGTCGGGCCTCTCCCGGCGGGACCCCCCGGCACAGGCCGGACAGGGGCCG